GAAAGGGCGATGATCCGTCTAGGAGGTAGAGGTCAGTGTTTTGTGCTGGCAATGTTCAAGCGAGCGAAAATGAGACAATCGGAGCAATATGGGGGGGGGTGGGCTGTTTAAAACGGTGGGAACATGCATACGCGTACCCAAAACAACACTGAGTGGTGGGGGGGGGATTCGATGCGATAATTTATCAAATAATGACATTTTACTTTTTCACAAAAATCCCTAAACATCGGTTCCATTTTAACAAAAATACCATTAAAAATGGGTCTGTTTTCTCAAAATTTCCAAAAATTCCCCAAATTTCGAGTTTTTGTATGGAAAACAACCGAAAAATCCCCCAAATTACCCTAAAAAAGGGAAGTGGTTTTGAGGATTTTCCGAGGATATTTTTTCGGGGATGATTGTCCAGGGGGTTATTATCCTGAAACACCCGGGGACAATTATCCACTGAGAATAACCCGCTTAGACAACCCCCCCCCCCCCCGAAAATTACTCTCCGAAAAAAAATGCTTTTATTAAAACCAAGTCATTATCATGCACGGTAGACGTCCCTTTTAAAGATACACCCACAACAAAAAGTGAGTCACCCTTACTCAAATTGATGAGTCACTGGTTTGTCCGTACAGCGAAACACTTGAAGGATCATGTGAGTCACTATGACTCGATACAAATGAGTCTTATTTATCTAAGAGACTCATTTGTATCGAGTCATAGTGACTCACATGATCCTTCAACTGTTTCGCTGTACGGACAAACCAGTGACTCATCAATTTGAGTAAGGGTGACTCACTTTTTGTTGTGGGTGCATCATGACATAGACCCCCCCCCCTACTCCCTAGGCCTATCACACACATACCATACCATGCCAGAGTCACTGTCCACATTTGCAATGGAAAATATATCTTAAAATATCACATTTTAGCGATGTAATCGGTGGTCCCGCTACCCGAATCTGAAAAATCTACTTTGTACGCACTAAATTAAGCCTTAACTTGAGATTTATTTGTCACCCATACTGTCACGAAACAATCTTGAATTAATTCGTTTTACATCAAATAACAAGGATCTAGGAGTTTCGTTGTATAAAATAATGATGCAAGATCATGCATGTTTTCATTCGACACGGCTTCGTGCGATACAGTAGAATCTATATATAGTTAAGTTACACACAGCCTCATCAACTCGAGTGCGGATATCGTAAAATGAACGCATGCATCATTTGTATAATAATCAGAAGATTCAGCCCACGAATCCAGTCATACAAATCATCGTATGAATAATTATGCGTACCAATTTTTCACTAGCTGCAGTCAAAACTCTTCTGAATCCAAGATATAAGATGGCGACGTCGCGTCGTCGATCGGGAATTCAAATATGGCTCGAGAATGCGCATTTTGGATGACGTCACGAAAGCATGCGCGCGCATGCATACAGCCTCACTTTCAAGTTGACTCACTTTTTTCTTCTAAAATGCTCTTATGTCGATCTTGACTCATTTTTTACGACCATGTGAGTCAGTCGAAGCATTTTGCAAATGCGTCAGCTCATGATTGACACACTGGTAAAATATAAATGAGTCAATAGAGACTCATTGGTTGTTACTAATGAGTCAATTTACACCTGACTCACGAAAATTATGCTTAAATGTGTCAAATGACTCACTTTTTGTTGTGGGTGATGTCCCTTTTGCAGCCAACATCAAATTCTGTAGAACTTTGCAAGAATTATGAATATGTCATGTATGTCTTATCTGTGAAACTTAAACGTTAGCAGTGTCCTAATATTCAAATTATGCAAGGAAACCCGTTTACTTGCTAGACTTCAGTGTCAGACACTATTGAGTGACTGGCTGGACTTTTTTTTCTTCTTTGATAATAACATATATAAAATGAGCTGTAAAGGGTACATGAGCATTTGTCTACATCAATAACCCTCTTCTTGTAATGGCCAAAATTAAACTGATTGAATCTTTGCGCAGCATAAAACGTACGACCATTCTGTACAATGGTCTTAAATCAGACTATTACTTACTGGCTCTATAGCTCCTAAGTCGATTTGACAACTACTAGTTGTTATATACCTCACTTAAGAAATCCAGCCATCTGATTGGTCGAAATTGCATTCATAAACTTTAACTATTCCTGTAAAATTCCCGGTAAAATTCCAGACCCATGTAATAGTTCAAAAAAACTGTTCTAAAATCCCAGTTACCATAGTTACTGGGAAAATAGTTCAGTCTTGGTGAAATACCCATCGGTCTGTAATTTCAATACAATTGAATCTCGATCGATCTTACCGACAATTTTATCTTGCATTGTTGACATGAAGACGAAAATAAACTTCCAAAAACAACATCTGCCGATAGATCTTGATCTAAGTTCGTGCCAATGCATTGAAAAAGTAAAAGAAGGGCCCGTTTAATGGAGCTGCCGCGAAGCATCCAGCACGCGAAGCCGTTTTTAATCCATTTTAAAGTATAGATCAGAGAAAACAACAAGGTATGTTAGCAGTGCGCAATGGCCGATCGGTCTAAGGCTGTGATTTTAGTCACATCATCGTTGGTACGCAAGAGATCGAATCCCATCTTAAAAAAAAAAAAAAATTGTTAGTCTACTCTCAAAGATACACTCATAAAAATAAAACCGTGCAGATAAACTAGATAAAGGCCAAGGTGGTGTCATAAGTTGACTCTTTTTGGGGTGGACATATAAAAGTATTAATGACTGCTTTAATATTCGAGAAATAGTTTTTTTTATACGCTCTCGGGAAGGTTGCAATTGGGCTATTGCCCTCGGCACGCCTCGGGCAATAGCACAATTCTAACCTTCCCTTGAGCGTATAAAAACAACTATTTCTCTCAAAGCAGTCATTAATACTATAATATTTTCCCACTTAAAGACATCTTCATGTCCCCCTTTTTTCTAGAGAAGTTCTAAATTAGTATTATCTTTCAAATGCCGTTTGAATTTAACCTTTTCATGTTTTTGGCCTGCAAAAGGGACACAGTACCTTTAATAAATAGGGGGTAATTTGGGGGGGAGGGAGGGGGTAATTGTCCCCAGGGTGATTGTCCTTGGTTGACCTGGTGGGGGGGGGGGGTAATTGTCTTAGAGGGTAATTTTAGGGGTGTGGAGTAATTGTCCTCGGGGGGGGGGGGGGGGGTTAATTGCCCTAGGGGATGGTTGTTATAAGGGGGTAATTTTCCGGGGGTGATTGTTCACATTTTCTTTGGTCCTGATACGAATGTGTGTGTGTGTGTGTTTATATTATTGTGTGAGTGGGGGAATGTAAAACGCACCCCTTCCCAACAGTTTCTGGTAAACACTGTGCTCAGAGTGAGCCGTTAAACAAGACTTGTTTACAATTAAAAATACTTATACTATCGCTACTTTCGTATTCGACCGAATTACTTATATATATAATATGTGTTGATACTTTAATGGTACACTAGATATAGACTCTAAAACAGCATAAGCAAATGTAGGGCCTATGCTATACTCCGTTATAACAAAAACAAAGAAACGAAGTCATGTTCTATACAATTGTATAGCAACTATGAAAAAATACTTCCGTCTAGTATATATGCCACGATTCCGGGTGTATCATAGGTTATATCCGGCACTGGTGGTAACACCAGTCTTGTTAAACGGGGGGAGAGACAGGGCACAGAGGTAGAGATGAAACACACAATAAAAAGAAATCGCAGAGTCACCAACAGTCAAACCTGTCTATTAATGTCACCCGCAGGAAACAAAAAAGTTGACACTATTGACAATTATAGGTGACCACTATAGATAGGTGGTCTTTAAATTAAGATAGCCACTCATACAGGTTTGAGTGTAGTTCATACAATTGGGTAAGGGTAAGTTCCTAGCCCCTCAATTCCTTGGAAATTTTGTGGAGCAAACATTGCCCTCTTTTGTGCCCCCTGGCAGCGTCTTATTTGTTCGTACCACGGCGAGCCCAGATCGAGCTCGCGAGGGAAACCTGCGCATGCGCACTCGTAAAGGAAACCAGCGCATGCGCACATGGAATCCGGTAGGGTGGTCAATAGGGTGATAGTAATTATACAAATCAAGCTGTCATCAACTCAATTGGCAAGGACAGCGTGTTACTAATAACACTTTGTAGTTGACTTGAGGGTTTAAGTCTGAATTAGTGATGAACTATGCCCGAGGACATTTTTCACAATTGCAACAAAAAGCTTTAGCACAGTGCTACAGTATCTAATGTTTTGTTTTGTTTCCGTAATGACCGGCTAATAAGAATAGGGGTGCAAGTTCAGCCTTAGCATTAAAAGGACGGACAAACGATATGTATCCGCGTTGCCCTCATCGCTACCATAATTTTATGTCGAAAGAAATTTCAGGAACTATGCCCGAGGAACATCGTACGCATAACATTGTCATCGAATGTAAAATTCGGTAAAAAATTACAAATTCTGAAATAGTGATGAAGTATACACCAATTATGATAATCATGTAAATTTCCGGCCACGCCCTCTCCACTGTATTTAAATTGAAATGGATACATTATATGAATGAACATACGTTTTTGCCATGATTTTATCATGAAAAAGTTAGTTTTAGTTTCCAATAAACACACAATAGTATTTCCTTCTCTGAGACTAAATTATTAAAATGTCCTAACATATTCCTTATCTTGCTCACTCTCTTTGACTCCCCCTCCTTTCTTTCTGTCTTTCTCTCTCGCGCTCTCTCTCTCTCTCTCTATCTATCTCTCTCGCACAAACAGACACAAACGTTCTCTGTCTCTCTCTTTCTCCCTCTTTATTCTCTCGCTCTCTTGCTCCCTCTTGTTATTTCTCTTTCTTTCTTTCTCCCTCTTTTTTTCTTTCTCTCTTTCTCGTCCACCCACTCCCCTCCAATCGCTCTCCATCCCTCCTCTTTCCCTCACGTTGTCTCTTCTTCTCCTCCTTTTTCATCGCGACATACCATTCAGATCACTTTATCGAAGAAACCAAAACACATCGATAAATTGTATGCAGCCGTGTCACCAGATATTTATTTTAAGGTCTGGTACATGAATATTAGGGGGATCAAATTATGATATTGTTGCCCAACAGATGAAACATAATAACAGGAATAGCTTGGTTCGTGAAAACTCACTTTGTATGATCTCCGATATATAGGGGCTGGTGTAACAATGATCAGATGATTCGTGTGAACATGCCCATAGGTTATTATTACTGAAGTTTGCTTCATGAAACTCTTTTATAAATAAAAGGTTATGTTCTGGTGTTTAAAAACATATCTTTTGAAATGGCAGTAATTTGTTTATCAATGCTCGCGATCTTTTGAATGCGAAATGGATGTATTAATATGGGAAAAAAAGCCTTTCACAAGATGATACCTTATGACAGGATGATAAATATAAACTCAAGGTTTGTCGAAACATGTCCAATCACAACAATGATGACGTCATTGTTATGGAGAAAAAAAGGTTATACAAAACGTGATAAAGTTCACGAAAAAAATATCGTTAACAAAAAATCAAATCAACCTTGAGGCATCGGTAATTTCACTACCTGATTGTATATCCCATAAAAAATCATTGTTCACTATTAACCTGTACCCACATTGCAAAAGGCTATTGAAGTTGCGATTCATTTATTGTTTACGTCAGCTCAGGGGTCATTTCAATACACTGTTGTATATTCTAAAGAGATCACGTTCAGATTACGTAATACACCCCTGTACGTCTTTGTCACGTTCAAACATTTCAGGTGACGTACAATGAGAGCCTCTGGTATTGCCACATCTTGATTTTCTTTCGAAAGTAGTTGCGATCGTCTACATTGTAACCATGTTGAGGTGTTTAAAAATATCAATCAGCTTAGATACGAGAAAGGGTAAACAAAAAATTTGCTGCAGAAACCTCGGCATCTCTGGACTTAGGCCCAGCAGTCCAGAGGGTAGTTGCTACCGGGGTCGAAGTATTCCGCAGTGCACTGGCCACAGTTGTACATTCTGCAGCGCTTGGTGCTCTGTGCATCGGGATAATTTGGGCAGCTGGACGTGGCGCATTTGTCTTTACAAGTAGTCACAGCGTCATCGAAGGGACACTCATCTGAGAAAAGATATGAAAGGAATGGAAAACTTATATGGAAACCATGAATGTTTTTTTTAAACAAGCGCCATACAAATGCTGTGAATCATAATCATCATCATATGGAAGCCATAGCAATTCTTTTTGAGAAATATCATAATTATAGAGATGACAGTGGGGGGAATTGACAAGGTCAAACTTTTCAATGAAGTTGTTGTTGGTGGGGATGCTGGTGATGAGGGTGGGGAGGAGTAGACGGAGGAAGGGGAAGAGGCTGAAAACAATCATTACGAGGATGGTGGTGAAGATGAAAATGATAATGATGACTTGACGTACAGAAAGAGTACTGCATGCTTGAGCAGTGATACAGAGTCTAGAAATTACATTTTATTGATGCTCCTGAACGTACACTTTAAAGAGAAGGTTGAGTTCTGGGAAAAGGTGGAAAAAAACTTGTGAACGTTATCACTTTATGCAAGTGTGTAGGTTCATCAGATAGAATATGCTCCCTAAATATCATGGCTCTTCAAATGCCTTTTTAATCTAAATATGGCTTGTAACATCATACGAATCGGGACGGATTTTTTTCGCCACATTTTTGTGTAGTCCCGTATACATGTTTCTGTGTACAGTGCTTGTAACTTTACCAAGACTGGGCCAAATTTATTATCATTTCGACGATTCCAGAACCTTGCAGTACACACCAATACTTATATGCTAGATGATCAACCTTTTCTGATCGATTCCACAACGTTTCTTTCACAAAGCAATCGTATGACTAGAACTCAACTTTATCTTTAAATATATCGTAATGGACTGCATAGACCTTGGAAGAGTATAACACAAAGGAGAGCTAACAAAACAAAAAAAAAATAGAAAAAAAAATGGCAAGACAATGTGATGAAATGATGTCATACTGTGTAGAGAATCGATTGGATACAAAATTAAGAGCCGAGATGAGGACAAATGTATTGGGAGGGGCCGAGGGGTAGGTGATTATGTCAAATTTCAAATGATGGTGAATGTTATAGAAATAAAAACAAAAACAATGACAACAGCTATACAGACAATCGGAAGAGTTAGAAGAAGAAGAAGAAGAAGAAGAAGAGGAGGAAGAAGAAGAGGAGGAGGAAGAAGAGGAGGAGGAGGAGGGAATGTTTCTCTTACCACAATCGACTACCTTGTCCCCATCATACCATGCAGTGCCCCCTCTGCAATAATCGACCCGACATTCCGCTTCCGGGTAAGCCCGACAGATGTCATCCTTGCACGGATTTTCGTGGCAGTTTTTCCCCGCTGTGAATGTTTCATGAACACGATAAGTATAATCATATGTATATATTTAACCCGTTGACAACTAAATACTCATATTCCCCATAACATTATTAACTGAGCCACCCGATTACAGTTGAGAATGGGTTAATGTCCATATCGGGAAAGTAGTCTCCCATTGTTTGACTTTAATAATAAACATATACATAATGCAGACGAAAACACATGAGATTTCATTAACACAATAAAACTGAGTGATATTGATATTCTTATAGTCAATTGCATCAGAAACTTGATTAAAAATAGCATGTTATAATAATGATAATTTATTTGTTTGTTGTTGATTTTTACTCACACATTGTTTCAAATAACAGAATAACAATGATAGTTGCCTGCACTTTTATCCATTCAAAGGCGTTGAATATATGTATGCAGTATACAATAAAGAATGATGACTTTGAGAGTGAATCCTTGTAGATCCGTGAAATTAGGGATGAAGATAATTCACTGAAATGCCAAGAATTTTCGTTACCATTATTTTTCTGAAACATAGTTACTACAGACCATGTTCAAAATAAGCATGTTCATTCACTCTTCGAAACAGTCTACGAAAAAACTTTAAAATTCTTAGAGTGTCGGACTGTTTCAAATAAAGTTAAACCTGTCTATTAAAGGTAATACAACGTTTTGCGAAATTTTGAAAATTGGGTGGATAGTGATTGTTTACAATTCTGATATATTTGAATGCCCCTGTAGATGTTATAAAAGCACTAGAAAATTTAGCCCCTATTCACTTCTGCTTTCGAGAAAAATTGAAAATGAATATTTACCGGTGCTCCCGGTAAATTTAGATAAATTTCAAATAGTGCCTACGGCTGTACAACGGTAGCTGCGAACATGAAAATCTCAGAATATGTAGTTGTGATATACAATTTCCAAACGGGAATAGCTCATCGGTCAAGAAACATTGTTTTATAGCTTAATAAATATTCTTGACCTTGAGAGGGAGCTTATCAACATAAAGAGTTTATCATTTACAATTTTATATCTTTAGACTCGATTTCAACCGCGATAACGATCACTGAATATTGTAGGATCGCATATGCTTCCAATATGTTCATTTGAACCAAATTTATGACCCCATACCAAAACTTTGTATTACCTTTAAGGCCAGCCAAGGGAAACATATTAAGTAGCCACAGTAGAAAGGTTGCATATTTGAAAAGGTTCGTCAGCATAAATTTCCTTCTACAGTGAGGCAGTACGGATGCCCACTACAATATACAGGTGGACTTTATAGAGAGGCGGCCACTAAGGTAGGTTTAACTGAAAAGAGCGTATGTGCATAATACTCGCTAATGCCCAGTAGTGATTCGAGAGAGAGGATTAGGGTGGAAGCTCCACACCCTAACCAAATGTTAGAGATGATCTTCAGCAAAAATGAATTTAAGCGACCGAGGAAGGAAATGTAGAAAATGTTAACAAGTACCCTCAAGCCCCCGTCCCCAGCCATCAAAGCCCCCAAAGCTCCCCCTAAACAAGAGTTTTTCTAGAACCCCCTCCTACTAACGCCCATACCATGCTTACTAAACATGTGTCTATTGCCAAACTCACCTTCTGCTAGTACAGCCAAGCCAACACACATCAGAGCAACGACAACAGCCTTCATGGTGATTGTAGATGTATTTAAATAACACTGATCATGCAAACAGCTCGAATGATTTTGATCTCTTTGCTATTGCTTAGCCTCCTTTTATATGTTTATAACACACTGTTTCTGTCCTCTCAACCTGGTATTAACACTTAGAATTTGATTTATGGAACGTTTATCATCCCCTCATTAACCTGGATGATTTATATTCGGTACCAAATCAATGTATTTTGACAAAAGAAATGCTGGTATCATTCAGAAGGAGAATAGTAATAAGATTTTCGACATTTGCTTTTTAATCATCTAAAACTGAGTGGTACTCGAGCGAACGCCGACTGAATGAGTAAACAAAAACATTAATCGCTATATTTATTAAAGTTTATTTAAAGCATCCAACATCAACACAAAGATCAAGTGGTATTAGCCTGCGATGTAAAAATAAAATTTAGATCGTTCTTGTCCTTAATTGATTTTGGAGATAATGATAAATCATAAAAATGGCACTTGCTGTCATCTTAACCTATAAAAGGACTGAAACGTAATAGTTTGATTTATAATGATTTGTACACTTTTTTGTGTTGGTTCTAATATCTTAAACATAATTTAAAATAATGACAACTGTTTTCATTTGAAACAACAACAAAAACATTATTCTGCTTAATTTTTTTTATCATCATATTAGTAGTAGTTTTCCGTTATATTTTCACAAAAGTTACTGGTAAAAATTGGGAAAAATGAAAACTACTACTTATGATGATAAACAAAGTCAAACATAATAATGTTTTTGCCAAATTAAAAAATTTCCCAGAATATGTTAGAAATGCCTAACCTTTCATTTGGAATGATTTATTACAGTGCATTCATCTGTATTAAAACCTTGTATTGTTTATTAAAAAAACAGCTGAAATATATTAATGTGTATACTAAATGGGATTAAAATATGATGCTCACCTGTATTACACTGAGATTCTTGTTCCTAGTTTGTTCTTTCTTACTTATTTCATTTCTCATATTCGATGGTTTGTTTATATTTATTCTTGACATATTTATAATTATCTTTATATGTTTTTTGTATTGGATATATATATATTGTGGATTGAATAAACGAACGAACGAACAATATCAACATCAAATTTGTAAATATTGGAGCCATCCTGATTTTCATTCTAAGCAGCTAGGATTCGTGTGAATGACTCTTTTTTTTTTTTTTTACATAGAAAAGATTGAAAAATAAAATTTTGAACCATAGCTTTGTTGTGTTTTTATTCCGTAATTGAAAAAATATATTAATAGTGCAATTATCTTAAACTAGTAAGCTTGAAAACGTACATTTATAATACTTTAATTTCAGTTTTAATATGCAATAACTCGAGAATGGCTGCATGAGCAACAGAAGTCAAACTGGCAATAGCGAAATGCATTTAAAAATAAACTTGAGAAAATTTATGTTATTATGATACATATATGAAGAAACCAATCGAGGTACAAAATATCTTTAAGTTCTACATGGTATATCCAAATACTGCGTGCACGGGTTTTGAGGAGTGTAAATGCTAGTTTCAATCTTGCAACAGTCATATGAAATGTACGTTTTGCAAATACAGCAACACAATCAAGTTGCCGCGATGCTTCTCCTGTGCCACATACAGTCAGACACAACTTCTTAAGAACCGAGCACAGGTAAATACGACAAAAAAGGCGTATACCGCACGGTGAATATACAGCCCCCAGCGATAAATGCAACGCAATGTGCACAAAATGCATGGAGACATTATTTTGCTTGCAGCATACTGTTGAATTATTGTTTAAATTATACAAAAAATACTTTTGGTCAAACATCTTCAAAGTCCCGTATTATTTCGTCATATAACATGTCTTTCAAATGTCGATCATTTGAAGGTATTATATATATATATATATTATATAAAACAGTATTTTACCACTTATTACAGGAATACATTAACCCTTACTGTACTGGGCTATTTCGAGCACTCTCTGACTGGGGGGGGGGGGGGGGGGGGGGGGGGGGGCTGGGAGGTCCCCCCCCCCTATGATCTCGGCTGTCGAATGTCCGATGAACGCGAAAATTTGCATGTTTGTATATATTTACGTAAGGAACAAGATGGTATAATTATTTTTTTCTTAATATGCAACTTGTTGTCGTTATAGCCTAATTAATTATGCAAAATGCTAATTGTATGCATTTTACAGAAAACTCTTGAAAATGTATTAAATAAATGTTTCCTTCATCTCAAATTCATGAGTTTTCATTTTTTGATGATATTTGAAAATGCATAGGTTAATTTGCATGAATTATGAATACGCATTCATGAATATCAAATCTGGAAATATATAGGGAACTAGAATCATTACAAAATTTGTCAGACTCCACTTTTTGAGTGTTGAAACTCATTATTCATATGAAACTTCTTTTCTAACACAAAATAGTTATTTGATGTAATTAATAATGATAATTTAAGCAAATTTGATGCGATTTTCAACTATTTATTTTCTTATGTATTTTATTGTTTTTTTAATTTCTTATGATATCTATTGTTTTATTTCTAATGTATTCTTCTGTTCTGAAATAAATCTAGTTACTTTGAGAAACATATAAAAGCAATTAGATATCAATTCATATCTTCACATTTCTGCTTGTACATGAATATATGCAATTATAGCACTTTTTTGATGATATGCGCATACTAATTGTTATGTAACATCTTACAGGTATATCCGATTTCGACGAAAATGGTATCAAAATGTGCGTAAGACTTGAGGAAAAAAACGACAATTTAAAATTCCAAGCTGTTGCGGCGCAATCTCCGAAAATGTCGAGGAAGGGGGGGGGGCCTCCCAGCCCCCCCCCCCCCCCCAGTACAGTAAGGGTTAAGGAAAGGTAGTGATGCAAGCTTTCCCCTTTACCTCTTGTACTGTACACAATACCTCGCATTGAACGTTCTTTGCCGTGTTATGTGAGAGTGACATTGTACAAAAAGTAATCGTAAAAAGAACAATCAAAATCACAACGATCGAATGAAATCAGTGAGCCATTTTTTTATCGCGACAAAAAATAGAACGGCCCGTAATACTATACTTAAAAACAAAAAAGCAGTAGCCAATTATGGAACATGGCTTCGTAGAGCGATGAGTATACTTCCTAAAAAAGAATTGTGCATATAAAATTCATGTCTTCATGAGATAAATATAACGATTTAAAAATAAATAATTATAAAAAGGTCATAATAAAATGTGAAGAATTCAATGGAATTATGTGATCAATTTTCCTCCAGGATGATGTAACCATCATCTTCGTTATCATCGCAAGCTTTCACTGAGTCTGCAGAGTAATACACATGAGAGTCGGGGTCTTCTATGACAATGTACCCCTCTTCGTCGGTACTTCTGGCCGAAAATGGAGCTCGGATCAGGCCTCCATCTGGCATGTCCGGGTAGTTGTAGTCATGGTCCAATGAGCTGTTCTTCAAAGGAACGCCCCGGAATGGGACGAGGTACTCATGGGATATTTCAGAATCTGCCGTGGTTGCCGAAGACACATTTTTGTCAGGATCCTCGTAGATAACTTCTCCTACCAGGGTCTCAAGAGGGTTCTTCATTGAAAGATTAGTCCCCGAAGCACTTTTATCCCGAAGGCCTCCGTCTCGAAGTTGTTCATTAGCTCTCACCGTCACTCTGATAGGCGATTCTCCAGTGTGCTTCAGGCGGTGATATGTCAGTATACCTCCCACAATGATGATCAGGGAAATGACGACCGGAATGAAGATTGGAAGGGCAATGTGAGCCCATGGAACCGGTGCTACTTTAGTAGAATGGACTAGATAAACAAACAAATTCGTAAATAAAAGAATTTATAAATTTATATCAATTCCTTTATTTATACGTTTTATTTAAACAGGGAAACTGAGTCCCTCAGTAACAAAACTGTTTTGCTGAGAGGCCCTGTTAAAAGTATATGTTAGGAATACAGAGTAGATTGAACAAAGTTTAAATACAAACATAGCATAGAATAAATTATTTGTCGTTGGTTTCGTTTTTATACACCATGATATAAACAAAACAAGTAGACCTTTCATATAAAACGCAAAGGTGATACCAAAAATAATTATAATGATAATAATATTTTTAAAAAATTATAGCGTTACTACTTCTAATACAACTTATAATGATAATGAGGATAATTATTATTGTGATAATTATAGTAATAATAAAGATAAAAATAACTCCATAATATTACCAATGATAATAATGGAGACGCTGAAGATGATGATCAATAGCCAAGATATTAATGATAGAAATCCGAAACTGGCGGATTGATTTGAACGTCCAACCCTTCACTAATAAACTTTATCTGTTCTTGTATTGCCCGTGATAGTAATTAATTAGTCTGTCAATAAATTGAAGGACCCAATTAATTTTAAGATTTGTTGTGTTTCACTTCCAGCAAAATAATACACGCATGATGCACAATTAATACAATGCCATGCACAACATTGAGAATTAACACGTCCAAGGGGTCCCAATAAACAAAATCACGTGAAAATCACGTCAATATCAAGGTATCGACTTGAGGAGAGTTACGTTCTTCAAACACCGGACATTTACGTAAATGTGTTAATACGTTTTTTGCATTAGGTAACTTAAAACACACGTACACTAAATCACGCAATTGTCACTGCAATATCACCATTATAATAACGTGAGTATCCCTACCTTGGAGACCATGGTTTGTAAACCTAATACTCCCGTGTTTGTTTGGTTATGAAATTACATCTTCATACACGAAATTATCGCGTCACAGAAACACGTGAAGCGTTAGTGATAGTTTTAGTCAGAATATCTGCGTGAAATTCACGTGAATATTACGAGGCTGACTTGAGATGAATCATGTTCTTCATTCACGTGAAATTTACGTCGAAGAGGAAGTATGTTACTGTAACCCGCGTTCAACCTAATAATTACGCAAATGTTACACAATAAATGAACCAAAATAATGACGTTCTCATTCCGTTTCTG